TCCTCACCCCGACTCAATCAAAGACATACAAGGACGCCACATTCCACTCACACCCCCGATACACACTCTATACCCCAGAAAAAAAAAAAAACAGAATGTAAATAAATTTAACTTGAAAAGGAGTGGGAAGAAGACAAACTTATTTACTCCCGCTCCCTATTTAATATATAAATTATGTGGTTGCTACTGACATTTGGAAAGTAATATATCGTATTCGTTTTCTGTTTATGTTTCTATGATCTGACAGAAGAAAAATAATAATTTATTATATGTTTGATTTAAATAGTCTTTTAGATCCACCTTAAATGAGTCATTTTAACAGATTTTTTGTTGCTGAACTGGACCAGTGCTCGGAGTATAAAAGTATAAAGTTGTTCAAATATTTATGAGTGGGTTCTGTTCGTGCTGCTGCTGCTTCTAATGAACCTGTCTCCATAATAGATGAGAAGTAATGAGTGGCAGCTCATCGAGGCAGCTGAAGGTCAGACTTTGTTCGGGACACATGAACCTTTCTGGTTCTGGTATCATAACCGACAGACGGACGGCTGATGTTTCACTGATCGGACCCCCCGCCCGAGTCAGAGTATGAGATCATCTGAAACGTCGACAGCGCTCCTCGTCGTATCTGAAGTGGTCGAAACTTTAGCGCCTCGGTTTTGTTCGTCCATTTTCACCCCAGGGTTCTTGGCTGCGTGTTTGGAGTCAGCTTTATATTTGGATTTAACTCGACCTGCTTCCCTGATGTGATGAGCCTGTTAGAGACTCGGACACGTGTGTATTTATAGCAGGGCTTCCCTGTTCAGAGTCACGCTAACACATGACGCAGCTCTGTCACAGGTGGATCAGGTAACCTGACCAGGTGGGCAACGGTGTGGGGAGTTGGAGAGCTCTGTCAGAAGGTGACAAGAAATGACGATCCGCTGTCTTTCAGCTCGCTCTCGGGCCAGAAAGTTTACCAGTTTAATGAGATAATCAAGAAATCAGTGAGATAATCAAAGACGTAATTAGTGAGATAATCAATGAGATTAGATGAGATAATCAAGGCAATTTAAAATAAACCCATACAAATGAGAGCGTGATAATAAGTGATAATACAGGATAATCAGTGTGATATTAAAATGATCAATAAATTAATCTAATTTATTTGAACCGCCCCGAACAGGTGGGCCATCCTGGTCCTCGAGGGCCACAGCCCTTCCTGTTTTACTGTTTTACTGCCTGCTTTACAGTTTTACTGCCTGTTTTACTGTTTTCTGCATCAACACACCTGATTCAGTCAATGAATTGTATATTCCAAATTCTTTTTTTTTTATTATTATATATTTATCAGGAGATTATAGAGTTTACATTACTTACATTTCTCAAAACTTACATAGCTTCTCCAACCTTTTTTTTAACAAGGAATATAACTCACAACACACATATAAATAGAAGCAATATATGTATATATATATACACTCACCGGCCACTTTATTAGGTACACCTGTCCAACTGCTCGTTAACA